TGTTTAGTTGAAGGATAGGATAATGGCTAACGCAAGTGTGGTAGGGAAAGAATAGGAAGAATTGGCAAGATGAATAGAGAGGGAGGATTAAAGAGCCCGGGGACCCAGATCTGCCCCGATGTCACGACCGACGAAATCCGAATCAGGGAAACGATAGTGTAGGGGAAAGGTTGAACATGGCACCACTAGCTGATGGCAATCACAACAACTTTAGTGTGTCGGGATGTTTCTCTGTCCTCTTGTCTTTTGATATGGGAAAGAGAAAAAAAATAATTAATGATTTTTTGTTTTTCTTTTTCTCTTTTCTTTTTTCCTTTTCGTGTCTTATTATTCTCGTCTTTTGACGATCTCTTTTTTCCCTCACAGGATGGGGAAGAGCTGATTGGACCGAAGTACTCCCAACCTGTGATGCCTCAGATCCAAGGCACCGCAGGGCTGGCTGTTCAAAGCGGAGAAGATTCAACGGCGGGCGGAGAGGTCAACAATCAACAGGGGAATAATATGAGGAACAGGCGCAAGGAAACGCTGATGATTCCCCGAAGAGATTGAAGTGAAAAAAAGTAGTTGAGTCCGGGGTAGGACTGGCCAAGACCGTGAAGAAAAAAAGAGAGAAACAGAGGTATGCGACCAACGGGAGGGAAAATAAAAGAAAAGGATAAAAAAAATTTCGATAAGGAATTCCGATTGAGGTGGAAGAAGATGGAATTGAAGCCGTGGAGGGAAAAATTCAAAAATAAAAAAATCAAAAAGGCCAACTACCTACTTACTTTCACAGAAGATATCCATACGGGCACTGAGCTACTACGAACTAACTCACTAATGTAGCAGACAAAGAGTCATCGACGAGCCAGAGTCTCCATCAAGCGGGACGCGCATCATGACAGAGCGGAGCTTCCTAAACGCAAGCAGTGGGCGGCGGCAGCCTATAGCTCCCGTTTTGTTCTAGGGTGGTTCCTTTTTTGGGGTGGGGGGAGGGCAGCCTGAGTGGGTTTTGAGGATGGACCAGCGGGAGTGGAGCCAATAGGCGCTGGCCTGGACCAGGGTGGAGTGGAGAGGAGGTTACTGAGTTGGGACGCGGGTGGGTTTGGGCGTCCAGGTTGATTACTTGGTGGTGGCTTGGGACCAAATGAGATGAGAGGAAGAGGGGGGAAGGGAAATGAAAAGCAGAGAAAAAATATGAACTTTCACAAGGAAAAGGAAAAATATATATTATGTAGAAATAACGAAGAGAAGAAAAAATAAAATAGAAAGGGACATGCATATGAGTATAAACGCCATAATCTGTGCAAATTGGCTTACTCTGAGCGGATACTACTACGGGTGTACTTACTATCTTACTTATTGATGACCCCTCTGTAGGTACCGTACCAAATTAATGCGGAAAATTTGGTAAGTGGCACAAAGGTATAACACGCGGTGGCTTGAAAGGGTTGTGTTGCCTCAAAACGCAGATATGCGACCGATCCAAGGGAGCAAAGCAAATCCTCCAAATCCTCAACCTAAATAATAATAATCATAACTAAAGAATCTTTCTTCCCTTTCCCTCAACCCCCACCTGAAAACCGCGAAACAAGGGAAACACGAACATCCATCACATTTCAGTCCCACCCGAGGATACTACGATCCAACGGCCAGGATGGACCGGCGCTAGCCACTTGGGCGCAGGCAACGAATCCAGGCCTGTCTAACGTCAGTGGACCAGCAGCCATGGCCCCCCCGGTCGCAAGTGGCGCCCGCAGTGGTCAAGCCTTGGGGCCTTGGGGGCCTCTTGGAAGTTGGAGTTTGGGAGGGTTTGTTTGGTGAGCGCGGAAGGGCGATCTGGCACCTTCGGTGGGTTCGAGTGGAGTCCGTCAAGGATTGGCCTGCGAGCTGGCCTTGGATGGGTGGAATGAAATTAGAAAAGGTGGGTTTCATAATTTTGAGATTTAAATGAAAAATCAATCAATATTGTGAATATCTTATAAGTATCATATTACTACTTTGTATATCCGGAGTATATATAGTATATAAAGGAGACTTTTATTGGTATGTATATCGATATTGATTTCGTAACCCATTTCACTTAGCAGTGCCGATTAATATGTAGGGATATTATCTTAGAAGACTTGTCAACTAGTAAGTATTAGTCAAATAGGAGAATTTCGCAAGGAAAAGAAGCAAGATTGAATTAGCAGTATCCATCCGATGTACTAGTAAGTAGTAGTAGTAGAAGTCGTATACTAGTATGCGTATACATCGCCGCGAGGCTGAGACACCTGGCCACAAGCCCAAAGCCAGCATCATTCTGCAGCCCTGGAGGCATCCAGAGGCTGAAAAGAAAATCCCAACTTAGACGCATGCCGCATCCGATCAGGTGGAAAAGATGGCCGAATCATTGCCATAGGATAGATAACTCAGGTATGTCAATATGTATGAGAAGTATGCACTATGTGGTACAGAGTGCGGTGTTGTTATAAAGGAGATGATTGTCGATGGGATTCTGATAGGCCGCCTTCCCTCCTGTGACAGCAACTGCTGAGCGTTTTCTGTCGCTTTGATCCGTGCCTAAATGTATTTCTTAGCCAATCCATATTTCCCCTACACACCATACATAAGGAGTTATCGTGAATATGATTTGAAGATGTCAGATATTCATGTCATTCATCAGGCCCCCCCCTTCCCCATTCTGTAACCAACAACATCAACACAACAAACAACAACATGCTGCATTATTATTATACTTTCGAAATCCCACCCTTCTCCCCTTTCTCCCCAAATTTATTATTTCCCCCGGGCGTAACTCAAAATGTAGGTCTCGGGAATGGAGGAGGGATCCATGAAACCTACCTTAGTTTCAACCCTCCCCGTTTCCTGTATCCCATCCACTCAGACAGGACCATTCCAGCCATCGTCTTTGACCACAGATCTAAGTGTTACCGGAGTTTCCAAGTTTTCTCCCTTCCCTTCCTCTCTGTGCTATTCCAACGGTCCGGTCATCTCCGTCGTCCAGACTAGATACAGTAATAGGAAACAATGTAAATAGCAGATATTTCTTAGTAGGGACCGGGATCAACGAGGGGCAGCGGGACCGGGGCCGCCCTGGAAGTCCCAAAAAGTATTAAATTAATTATAATAATAAAAGAAGAGTAGGCTGTGATAATCCATGGGCCATGTCACGAGCGGTCTGGCGATGAGGATCGGCAAACTTTGCTGCGCTGTGGCTCTTCCTGCCTCTCCACTCCCGTAGGCGCTTAGAAGAGGGGGGTTTTCTGGTCTGTCTAGAGGATAGTTGTACAGTAAGTACTACTTACACTTAGTAGTAGTAGTAGTCTAGGCTAACTAGCTAGGAGGAAGGAGAGGCGTGAAAAGGAGGGGAAAGAGGATTTGAACTGGCCAAAGTCAAATTCATTAATCTTCTTCTTCTTATGGCCATTGTTTTAATGATAACTAAATATCTTTCGCTATAGTAAGTAAAGTATCTCGGTTACTTGCTAGTTAAGTTAGCATTATACATAGCCAAATCCATCCAATTTGTATGGAGGCGGAATCGAACACATCCACCACCCACCATCCACCCCATCTCGGCATCCAATCCTCCCGCCATGTTTCACTTCTCCCAAAAGAACACAGCATTTTTACTTCATTCCATCATGCTGAGCTGGCCAGAAAAATAAAAAAAGACTGATGATGATCACGGCCTGAACTTGACTGCCTGCCTGCCTGGCTGACTCAGCCAAGATTGTGAGTCACGAGAAAAAGATAGGTTAAGTTTTCCATTCCATCAACTCAACTAAAGTAGGATGGATGCAGTCTTATGCATGTCGGTGCGCCTGTCCTGTGCCTATCACAACAACAACTTGCATTCTAAGTCGCAGTCATCGCCCCTTCTGATGGAGACACTTTGCGGGCATTGCTGGACTTGAGAGATCCCATTACTTTTGCCCCATCCATGGACCTACCTCTCTTTTCATTATTCACCGATACATTCATCTGTTTCTCGTTCTTTCATTCTCTCTTTTTTCTGCCTACGGACGGAGTACCGTTACCCGGAATCGGTCTTCGTTATAGGGGAGGAGGGGGGGAGGGCCCAGGCGGCACCTGCAGCTCCGGGCGCGTATCAGGAACGCCGCCAATTGAACCATCCCAGTAGTTTAGTGGTACTGTACTTAAAAGTCCCCGGTGAGTGGGGAAAGCTCATGGAATCTTCGGGCTCTCGGTGTGTCCGGGCGCGGCCCCATCCGATTCCCAGCCTACGTAGATAGTTGCTGTTGCTGTTGCTGTTTGGCGACTGTCGATGCTTCACCACAATGATATGCATGGAGTGGACTATGGATGGGGCGTAGGTATCCATCCTCAGGCGCGAGACGGCAATAGTTGTGGCTAGTATGTGCATGGGAGGTGCCGATCGTTACAGTCGGTACTTAATACTTGTGAATCGATGTATTCACGCGGTTTTGATGGATTTGCCGAGGCATAGTAGCTATACGAAACTTGAAGGATTGATTGAAAGGGAGTAAATTGCAGTGTTTGAATTGATTTGATTGTCTACGATCATCAGATATGTGAACATATCTGGGTCTAAGTGTGTGATTTTGACCGTTAAATGGACCACTGTATCCACAGAAAGAAGCACAAGGCTCCCCTCGAAGATACCGCGGTGAGTAGCAGGTCGGTTTGCTCTTCTTTGCTTAAAATAAGCCTATACCACGTTGTGATATGACAATTCCAGGCCCGAAGGCGGGAAAAGACGGTAAGGGCCAGAGTGTTGCAAAGGTCATCTGGGGTGGGACTCATTATGATCCGGCTTGCATAGATAGCAAGTAAACCATATGTGAGACGGGAGGAAGAGAGAAGGGGCATCTCAACGGAGACGTCGAGTGAAAACACTTATCGAATTCGAAAGAACAGAAATGGGGAATCTAAAGTCATGTCTCATAAAACATTTTTGTTTCGAATAAGATGATCATATTCCGTAACTAGCATGCCGGTAAGAAACCACGACCGCCGCGAATTTGAATCATTTACTCGGAGGGGACTGCGAAACAGTTAGTGCCAAAGTCTCGGATAATATGGTATGGAGGTGGACATACTGTCGATCTCGCCAGCCTTGACGTCGTCGGAGACGTCCTTGGGGCTGCGGCCATCGACCTGGCAACCGACAGAGAAAGCGGTACCGAGGATCTCAAGGACGGTACCCTTGAGCTCCTTAGCAAGAGAGCGGTGGCGCATCTTGCGGGCGATCTCGATGATCTCGTCCAGAGGGATGGACTTGCTGTGCTTGATGTTCTTCTCCTTCTTGCGGTCACGGGGAGGCTCCTTGAGGGCCTTGATGACCAGGGAAGAGGCGGAGGGAACAACGGAGACAGCGGCCTGACGGTTCTGGATGGTCAGGCGGACGGTGACACGGAGACCCTTCTATAATACCCAAAAAGATGCCGTTAGCACTGTAACCTCCAATACTCGATCCGGACGCCGCGCTTACCCAGTCACCAGTGTTCTTGGCGATATCTTCACCAATCTTCTTGGGGGACAGACCGAGAGGACCAATCTTGGGGGCCAGAGCAGACTGGGCACCGACCTCACCACCAGTCACTCTCAGGTGGCTAGTAGAATCGTTAGCAGCTGATCAAAATAATGCGCCGAGTGATAACTCTTCAGAATATGCAACTTACATGATCTTCACCTCATTGGGGTCGAACTTGGGAGCTGCCCAATGGGAGACATATTAGTTCGCCTATTCGATTTCACCAAGGAGATGATACTTACGCATGGCGAGTGCGAAAGGTCGTCAATCGTCCTTGGAAGGTGTCGGGGTGGTTGGTACGAAGAAGGAAAGAAAAAAGCTGTTGAGGCCGGAAGGTTATTTAGCTGCCGTTGCGCCTGCGCTAAGCGAGACCCCGAAGCGGTAAGTCTGGTAGGGCTCAACCCATGCCTATCACGTGATTCCAACCAGAGCAATAGATGCCTTCCTGAAGCGGTAACTATTATCTGTACGTAGTACGTAGATAGTTAGTACTAGATACCTAGCACTAAATGTCAAAATGATGCTAAATGATCCACTTCTTGATCCACTCATATTACGATATTTTGTTTGTATTCAATTGGTGAATCTAGGTAGTTGCTATATTCCAGGGTAACGAACAAAAATCAATAACCGCTAAAGATACAAACGACCCGAGGACTGGCGCAAACCGCCCCTTGCTCTCGTCATGGCCATTACCTCGTCAAATCTAGCTGGTTCCGGAAACAGCAAGCCTAGGGCACCGGGTTAGCAACTGTTTGATCTCCGTGTTGATCGAGATTGAACTTACTTCATGAGATGGTCCATGAAAGTCTGCAACGAGACGTCATCAGTGAAGATGGTCTGCGACGTCACACCTCCGCCGTATCCTCCTGTCGTGTGGGTGGTAGATGGGTTCAGCTTGGACAAAAGGAAACGAGCCTGGGAGCCACCAGCATCGCAAACGATGAAACGGGGCAGCGGGAAACGGTCAGAAATCAATTCCTGTGTAAGATAGTTAGCGTGTTTCTCGGCAGGTTCAATATTGCATGGAACTAACCCTAGCGTCTTCCTTTGGTTGCTCAAGGAGCACCTTCAGATTCTCGTAGCCCTCCTGATCCTGGTAACCAGCCTTCCTCCATTCCGCGATAGTCTCGCCGTGGAAGATCAGGATGTGGAAGAAAGTGTCCAGAAGAAGGATGTGAGCGGGCTGGATAGAAGCCGAATCCAAGAGCACAGGTTGGCTTCCTTCGTGTTCAAGGGAGTAGGAATCCAGAGTTGGCTGAATCATGACAAGAGAGTCGCCAACATCTTCGTGGTTAAGCACATGCCGGTAGAAAGCAGTCTCGTCAGGCGAGTTGTTGAACACCTGCAAGAACTGGCTTCGGCGCAGATGGAACATGAACTGAGGGTAGAGAGTGAAGTTCTTCTCCAACCGGAATGATGTCGGGTCATCTTTCCGGTAGTCGGCGAAACGAGAGCAAAGTCTGATGAGCATCCGGTCAACCCATCTGAGCACATCAGGGCCATCATCAACCTCAGCCTTGAACACGGCGATGCGGGCCATCAACACGGCAGCTGCTTCCTGGTCGAAAGACTGTGCCAGTGTAGGGTCACCGGCAGGACCGCTGAGGGGCCGCGCGACCGTCGTGACCCGAAGGTGGTAGTGACCCGATGAGTGCTGGTAGTATGTGAGGAATTGCATCATTCCTCTTTGAGGACCTGGTTGCACTGCTGCAGGTCCACCCTGGTTTGCTATTTCGAAGTAGACGCCGTAACTCGAGGCAGGGTCAATTCCACACATCTTCCATGCGCAAGTGTTACCGATACCACATTCCGTTTCGCCGACAGAGCTCGACTTCTTGTTCAGGGAAACAGCGTGACCGATAAGACCGGTGACCTTGAGCTCCTTGGTAGTCAGCACCTCAAGAGATGCGTTGAAGCCCATGAGTAGGTTATCGTTGGCATCCTTGTCGAATATCCTGACGAAGGACTGCTTGAATTGTGAGGAGGTGAAGCTGTCTGTGAGAAGAATATGTCCGCCGGTGTAGTTGGCAAGGTTCTTCATCTCCAGCATACCGACCTGATCGAGACAACCAGCAAAGACATCAACAATATGTCCGTTGTTGGCAGCACGCTTAGCCATGTTGTCATAGAACTGGATACATCATTAATACTGTGAAAGCATTCAAGAGAAGTCGGATCAGCACGCACCTTAACAGCCTTCTTGTAATATTTGATGTTATCGCGGTCAATATCGTGGTGTGAACGGATGGGTTCCTTCAGCTCAGGACCGACGACGTGACCGGGACCCTCAGTGGCCGGTCCGCTGGTGAAGACCATAATGCGGCCACCAGCATTCTGGAAGGAGGTCTCGAGCAGACCCACGGCGACGCTGAGAGCAACACCAGTGCATCTGAGAGGTCGCTTGTCGTTGGCAACAGGCCACGGGTCACGTTGGAGCTGTTCGAGCACGTTGGTGATCTGGAACTCGGCCTGCTGAACGGGAAGGAGGAACCGTGCCGCAGGGCCAAGCGGGGGACGCGCGGGTTGCTGGGGCATGTTCGGGCGAACTCCGGAAGCAAGACCAAGCATCTCCTGGACCTGCTTCGCGGCGTATTCCTTGCTGCCGCGGAACACATAGGACTTGGCGCACTCGGTATAGCCGAGCTCATGTACTTGTGCCTGTATTTCACGGTCAACAACGCATCCTAACAGGAACCAAATGTAGATAGATGGTTGTATGTCCCTACCATTGTACCGTATGTGATCAGACCAACCAACGCGTTCACAGGCAGCAATGACAGACTCATGATCAGAGAGTCCTTCAGGGCCTTCAGACTGTCATCGTCCTGGCAGGTATCGACAACATAGACGAAGATAGGGGGAGCAGGGGCGGGGCGTGCCAATTGGTACTCGATTGTCGTGCTCATGGGGTGAAGCTCCGGGGGTATCGTGCTCTCCGTGATATCCTTGTAGTGAGGGGGCAGGGGGTTGCGCATAAGGCAGAAGGGGCATATCCAGATGCGGGCCCGAACATCAACGTTGCTATGCGATATCAGCCAAGTCGTTCATATCACCATACCTGCTAGCAGTTGAGAGGAAGCCATACGCATAAGGATTCAGCACCGCCCGACAAGGCGCCTTGCAAGTGACGGGCTCATATTGTAGCAACGGAGAGTCTGGCTTCTCCTTGAGGGGTGTGTAGACGGCACCGATGGGGACAACAAGGCGGGATGCTTCCTGTCGAAGCATAAGTTAGCAGAAATGGGCCAGAGGGTCCCAGAGAGCAGACGAACCATGCGAGAACTCGGAAACGTATTCCAGCTGAGTCTGATGCCATCGCGATCCTCGACATCACTCCATTGGTCCTTCAACGCTTCGTAGTCCATGTTGGCGGCCTGGGGAGGAACGGGATTCCGTAACTGGAAGATAACGAGGGGGGATCTAATCGGGCAGGAACAGGGCCAGAAATAACAAATATAGACAACGCAGACCGGTTTGCAGGAGGTCCCTCCTATATCACAACCCAGTCACAGAATGGGCAACGCCAGCAGCTGTTGTCCGGAGACTATGCGGGGATCAGGAGACTGTTGTGTGAAGCGGCACCTGTTGCCATAAGGCCAGGTTGCAGCATCACTGGTCGCTGCGGGCACCCGTACACCGCGCTAGTGCGCTTTAAATACCCGCTCATCTTCCCTCCACAACAGTTTTTCTTTCTTTTTCTTTCCAAATATTCTTCACAACGCCGACTCCTTTCCTTTTCTATGGCAGCTTCCATCCACCCAGTTGGTGATTTTGTCTAAAGTGTCGAGCGAAGAGTAAATTAGACCCGTTGCTGGGCACCTGGCTTTGAAAGGACGTTTTGTTCCTTTTGGATAATCTGGGAATCAGCTGTGGTCACATGCCCTTCTATCACCGTTACTGTAGTAGATATACGCGTAAAAAGAGTCATCGACGTGCGCTTTGAATTAATTGTTTCGGTGCATTCCATGCTCTTAAATTTACATAAACTATCTACCTGAAAAATGTGACCCAACGCATCCTCCCATTTTCAAAAATGCCTGACCCGGAACGCCCGCATGGTGGAATATTCGCAAACCGACAGCCAAAATGCAAGAAAGGAACGTGGCTTCGTGGACCTATCAGAATGACGTTAAACATCCTTGGGTGCTTTTCCCATTTGCTTCAAGAGATAGCTGCGCTTGAAGTAGGTATTGGGGTGCACGATGGTGTCAAGGTCAGTTTGGTTCCATGTACCGTCTTCCTTCACTCTCTTGATATCTGCTTTGTGGGTATGTTCGAAGACCCTGTTGCAAGCGATATGGAACCGCATTTTCTCGACATCCTCTCGCACTCCACGTAGGACGTCCCTGTCATTGACTCCTGTAGACTGAAGAAGACCGATCAAATTGTCGACAGAGAAGTGGCGGTACGGGCAGCCATGGGTCTGTCCGACTCCCGGGTTTGAATCACCCAGGATCTTTTGGCAGGAGTACGGAGGGTATCCCCGGCCTCTGCGGTTCTGATCACCACCCACATCGCCGTAAGCGTGGCGGATATTGTACTTGTACCGCGAGTTGAATTCGTCGTCGGTGAACCCTTTGAAACCTTGACGCCAGAAAACAATACATTCTTCCAGTGACAATCCAATTCCCTTGAGGAAGAGGGTATATTGCAGTCGTCCGTAATGCTTTAAGTGGTTGTTCTTGCGTAGGTTCATGTGAAGACTGCGCATGCATAGTGGAAAATGCTGAGATAGTCGATCGATATTGTTCGCAGTAATCGGGGCGCCATCAACAAATCCTTCGTTCTCCGTGTACACCGACTCGGCACTTCCAAAGTTCTTCGAGAGGTGATTGAGAATCGGGGTGAGGCGATCATCTTCATCCAAGCGCGGCAACGCCCGGCTTGTAAGCTAGCAGACGTCAGTGCCATATAACAGTCCATGTCCACCGTTTTCACATACCTCAAGAGCACGCTCCAATCGAGCCGTAAACTCTGCTATGATCATGCTGAGTTGCTCCCTACCGGGTACATACGCTTTCCCCTTGGATAGGAAAACAGCCCGTTTCTCTACCAACTCCGGGACTTTCTCCCAGTCCACCTTGTACCAGGTCTCATCGTCAATGCGACGTAGACCCGGGGAGGCGGCGAGCAATTGTTCTGCCAGCCTCTGTTTCTCTTCATCATCCACAGGCTCCCAGTCGAGATTAAGACTTTCGATGAAAGCGCGTCGTTCTCTGGTGTCGTCGCGTTGGAAGCGGAATCTGAAAAGCATAGTTTCTGCTCTCACGAAACGCCGACGGAGTTCCTCTGTGGCCGAGAAGGCGAGGCGTAAGATGAAGTGCGAGTAGTGATCTTTCTGGCGTTCATTTTTCAGTCGTTGATCCGCCGCACCGTTGGACGAGGATGTGTTGGAGGATAGAGGGAGGTATTTTTGGAGGTGAGGTGTGATATGCGCTTCGGTCTCTGCCGGCGACTTGTTTCGATAAGAACAGGCTTCGATTTCAGCCAAAACTGTCAAGGATTGTGAGTATTTACAGCATGTCGGGATTGTAAATTGAAGAACCTTTCAATCGATCAATGGCCCATTGCTCAAATTGTTCGAGGGTGATCTCGTCGGTCGGGGGTATTTCATAGAAATTTAAACGATGCGGATAGTCCTGTTGCTTGAAGACCGGAGTCGCGAATTGTTTCTTTTTGTGGTCGAGGGTTGCCCTTCGCTTTGGGTCAATTCGGCGAAAATCTTGCCGGATCATCTTGCTTTCCAACAGCGATTTGGACGCTATTGAGGTGTTTGGTCGTTGCTTGATCTGCTGCAGTTCAGCAACACCTACTGGATGGCCCATCGCGCGACGGACGCGAAACGCGGGCAGGACGCGCCACGATCACGTGATACATAACTTAATGTAAAGCTCGATTGGGACATGTCAACACCGCAGTGGTGCAGCAGGGATACCGGGCTAATTGATGGGGTAAAGAGGTTCACAAGTGTGTACTACTGAGCTGCTTCTCAAACACACCACCTGAAGCAAGCGCTAGTATGATACACGCATGTGGGATATATTGCTGGGATTCGCCGGTAATGTCATGACAGGCTCAAAAATGAAGCCATATGGGTGGGACAGCCAACATCATTCTCTTTCCCTCTGTTTACTACTAGGTATCTAGTATCTGTGTAGACTGTAGAGTAGTTCTATCCTACATACCATACTACGCTTGATGGACGGAATCACTGAAAATAAAAGCCGAGGCTCCCTGTAGAGACACCCTATACCCCGTGCTCTACTTCCAAAATAAGCTCGACAACGTAGCATGTGAGACAGTCAACATGGTCTGACCCTTTGCATGGTAGTACTTGTCTTCGTCCGAATTCGAAGTTAGCACTGTTGAAGAAGCAGTCAATTGCAACGCCAAAAGCCGACATTCCCATGTGTCGGTAAACGCCCCGATCTCCGCTCACCGATTTCCTAAATGGGCAGCCATCTACAAACCCCACGGAAGGGCGTGCTTTCCCCGGCTTGAGATTTGTCGACGTATCAGCTGAGCACCGACCTGGCCCGATAAGCTGCGCAAACTATTATCTTTCTCTACCAGTCCTGCAATCCCTGTCTGCACTCTCTCAACTGTTTCTCTGAGCCGCAATGGAGATAATATAGTCTGCCCGCCATTCCTCCACTTTCCCCAAACTAATTGTTGAGGTACCCGCCTTTCGCCCTACCTTCAAATACTTAACGACGGCTGCACCAGAGCACCGAATTGCCTCCAACCCTGAGAGTATATCGACAAACCTCATAACTGAATAGCGCGCGAAATGACCGCTACAATCCGGCAGCTCAGAAAAGCAGCCCGCATTATTCTTGTCGGTGCTCCTGGTGTCGGTAAAGGTACGCAAACTGAGCGGCTCCTCGCCAGATATCCAGAGCTCGCCTCCATTAGCTCCGGCGACCTTCTGCGCGAAAATGTCCGCAGGAAGACCCCTCTAGGTAAGTGACCTTGAGTTTACAAGATGTCTGGGGGGCAGGATTTGTCTAACGGTTTCCGCACTCAGGCCTTCAAGCAGAAGCCACCATGCAGTCCGGCAACCTTGTCCCCGACTCGATGATCCTCGACCTCATATCCTCTGAATTCAAATCACGCGGCTGGCTCTCGTCAGCACCAAGTTCATCAATATCACCCTCCGCATCTTTCATTCTGGACGGCTTTCCGCGCACTGCGACCCAGGCTTCAAGCCTAGAAACCATTGTTCCCGTGAACTTCGTCGTCCACCTCGTCACACCTCCTTCCGTCATTCTCTCTCGGATCGCGTCGCGCTGGGTACACGAGCCATCCGGGAGGGTTTACAATACCGATTTCAATGCGCCTAAAGTTCCCGGCAAGGATGATGTCACAGGGGAGCCTTTGACTCAGAGAGAAGATGACTCGATCGATACGTGGAAGCAGCGATTGCACAAGTTTGAAGAAACGAGCAAGGCATTGTTAGAACACTATCAGCGCAAGGGCTGTCTATGGCGTGTCGAGGGCGACACAAGCGACGAGATCAGTCCGAAGCTTTTTGCAGAGATTGAGCGGCAGTTTTGCTAGAGTTTCTCCACCTGATGGTTTCCGAACCTCACCCCGGTCCTATATACCTTCTTGTACTATATATCGGTTATATTCTGACTCTATGCTTGTTGGCGTCGCATCCCTGCAGTCCTAGAAGGGCAGCAGATGGGGACACTGCTTTTTTGTACCACTTCTTTACACCCAGATACAGCTGGCATCTTTTCGTGGACGAGTTAAACCTAATGATCAGTCTAACGATGTTAATGAGTGCCGCAATGATAATGGATGACCAGATATTCATCTATACTATCCCAAATATACAACCAAAAGATCAGCTGCGCAATGCAGAGAGACACATAACGACAAGGATATCTATCAGTATCAGCCGTATCATCATAACTTGTACATCATGCAACCACACCCCAAAGTACACAAACGCCCCAATTGCAAACCGCAAGCATGAACATCAACAAAGAACAAGTAAAAACCCCACCGGGCCTACTTCTTCCCCTCCCCTCCATCCTCCATCCCCGTCCTAGTCTTAAATTCCCTCGGACTCTCCCACGCATCCCTATTCTTCTTGAATCCCTTCCACAGCCCCAACCCCCTCGCCTTCGCCCACCACTCCGCACTCCGATACTTCTTCTCCATCACCTCACCCCCAAACTCCGCCCCAACCTTCGCCTCATACACCGTCGCCAACCCCTTCCTCAGCATCTCATACCCAACATCGCGCCTCCGAAACGGAATCGGGAAATCCAGCGCCCGTCGCACAAACACCGTCGCCACTACCCGCTGATACTGGTCCTGTCGGTGCACGTAGATCCGCACGCGCCGGCCTGTTAAATACCCCGTTAGCCACTCGTGGGCTTCTTTACCGAAGGGTTGCGCGGGGCGTCCGAAGTGCGCTTGTTCGGGGGCGTCGACACCGGCTAGGCGGACGTGGATCTATTTCAATCAGATTCCCATGTTAGCTACACACATATATATAACTCCCCTCTGGTATAGATGTAAATAGTAAAAGGGGGCATACAGTCTGATCCCGCAATTCCTTCCGCGTCGTGGGAACCTTCTTCCAGGGTACCCAACCCCAACCTGCGAGTCTGCCGCCAGGTGTATGATAGATACGGAAGTTGTCGCCATCGCCGACGCTGGTTACTTTCCCCAAGATACTCCGCCGACGGTAATATGCGGGCGTGATGTTGGTGGCTGCGGGGAATCGGCGGAGGTAGTTCCGGTGGAAAGTGAAGGCGCTCAGGATGCCGGTTGTGAGGACTAGTGTTGGGATGAGGGTGCGGAGTTCGGTGTAGGCGCTCCAGTCGAGGAGGTTCCTGGGGTCGTTTTTGTTGTCTGTGGGGTGGTCATTGTTGGTGGCTTGCGCGTTGGAAGTCCATGGCGGCCATCGCATGACGGCTCATGCTAGGACTTTTGCTTCCTGTATCTGATGTGGAGGTTGCGCGGTGAGGGCGTCGGTTTGGAGGGGAATTGGGTGTGTAGTTGGTATTGGGGGGATTGATTTAGGGAGAGTCTCCGGTTTGATGTTTAGTCGGGCCGTACGAAGATGAGCTGTTGCCGAGGCGAAAGTTTGGCGGTCAGTGAGCTCCTTTTGTCCCGGGGGCGGAGGAGTGGTGGCTGCATATGGTAGTTATCTACGGTAAGAGAATCTAAGTTATTGGTCTTACGAGAGTGCGCCGATGCCCCTGAGTTGGTTTAAAGGTACAGCGCAGCCAGTCAGTCAGTCCCTTAATTCGAAATGCATAGATCCTTTTGATGCTATTGTATGTTCTAGATATCGAGCTGTTATTATCTATAGACAACTGCAGTAGTATCTTCGGTCATACCAGAAACTGACAAGACAGACGAAATCCCACAACCAGTGCGCCGCAGTGAGAAGAAACAAATTCGTACAAAAAGAGAATGGTAGTTACCGTGCCATAAATCAATCACTCAAACGTCTATTTGAGGGTCGCGGGAAGACTGGTCTTTGCTGTCGATGCAGCGGAGTCCGCCAGCTTCTTGAGCTTCTGCTCTCTGATCTTCCGCAGGTATGCGAAAAGAAGAACGAAAATGAGTTCAACCCTGGTCTCTGTCAGCATGTGATTGCGCCCCTTCACCCAGACTAAACATACCTCTCCTTAGTCATCATCAAAAAGCCTTGTACAAGGAGTCCCTTCATGATCTGGGGTCCAATTCCCTTGAAGAGGGACAGGAGACCCTCATTCTGCACAATATATCGCATGACTTCGCCGAATGTCTTGAAAGGCTTTCCTTCGCGACCCGGAGGGGGGCGTGACTGAAGGCCGACCTTGGCCACAATCAAAGGTTGCGTCGCAATAGTAGCTAGCGCCTTGGAGAGAGCGCCGAGGACTGCAAAAGTAACCGGATTAGCTCACGGCATATAGGTGGTGATAGATATACTTACGGAAAGCCTCCCAAGGCTTCAGATTGTTCTTCCCGGGGAAGATGATATCTTTGAGGCGCTGATAAGCGCCGTATGTAATTGCCGGATTGACCACCAGGATCAAACTAGCTTTGAGTCCTCTCCATAGACCGGTCCAACCATCTTCACTATCGACAATCTCCTTTCCAGTTTCAATCAAGCCCTTCCTCTCGCTCTTGTCTTGTGTCTGTTGTCGTGTGGTGATTACAGCAACGGGGATAGTGAAGATCTGGGCGACCGCGCCCGCCACAGCACCGAGGGAAAGCTCAATGGCAGTTCCAGGAGGTTTAGGGACCTTGTTGGATGCCATGTAGAAGGCCCTCACAACGGTGTACCAGTAGAAGTAGGCGAAGTTGGTGGACGCCACACCGATGAGAGAGCCGGCGATTCCGGAGTATAGGCCTTCGATTCCTTCCTTCTCGACAATCTTGGTGATCGCATCTAATGTCGATTTATAGTGAACTGTTTCGGAATTCTCGTCTTTTGAGTCGCTTGTCTTGACTTGTACTTGGAGTTTCGTCTTGACACTGTGCATTGACGCATGATTATTAGCGGATTATCCTTTTCGGAGTTTAAAGCGACAGCAGGTACTTGCATACAGATCAAGAGGGTAGACCAAAGCGTTTGCTAGAACTGCACCTGTAGCACCCGCGACGGCACTTCCCCAAGGGGAAAGTGCGGGCTTCGACTGGCCGGCCATTGTTGTGACGAGATGAATTAGTTGGTGGATTAGATGGATGAGGTATTTGGCGTAACGTGAAATGCGAGAAGAATATCGACCAGCGTCCCAAGCCGTTTATCGAAACACTTTAACCGAAATGCCAGTATCGGACTTATTACCTGAGAATAATATGGCGGTGCGGAATAATAATTGGCGATATTTCGGAGCGGGGACTCCCAGGAGAGTCTAGCAGCTCACAGGGTGGAATGATCGGAGGGTGACAGGAGAGAGTGTCTGGGCTGTGCGAGAGGACTCTGGCGACCGTAGTGTTCACAGTTTGAAGCGATCACAGGCGAAGTGGTGTCGAGTGCCTGGTCAGTGACTGGTCAGTGACTGACAAAACCAGAAGCCCGGCAAGCAGCACAATGAGGGCAGGGATACTCCGAACAAGCAAGTCAAGGCAGATGAACCTCGGCGCAGCGATGGCGCGCATGACGAAACGAGCCTCGGTCCGATGGCCGGCCTGTTGATCGTTATCACTTTGGGCCACCCACTGTTTCCTGCCCACTGCCGTCTCTCCCCACCGACACGCGACGCTTACCAACTCCATACTATCTAGTACCACCAGTCACCATTTCGCCTGCCACCATTCACGCTTCATCTGCCGACCCTTTCTTTGGTGCTTGATCTTCCTGACTAACCCATCTAAAGTTTCCTTATCTTTGTGTTATCTGGAAGTGCACGTTCCCCTTGTCTATTGCTTTGGGTCTGGCACATTCCTTAAGGTAGTGGACCTCGGATGTCATCATCGGACATACTAGGTTCCCTTCGGCATGATCATCAAGTAGTGTATTACTGCCTCACATCTGATAGGTGCTAGCCGAATCTGCAGTAGTTGCAGAGAGGCTGGTCCGGCAGAATGTCTAGACCGAACGCTGCATCTACAAAGTTCTTAGTCAACCAGGCCTTGGTAACTATTCTACTCTTTTTACTTCCAGCTCGGTGTCGATCACCACCATAGAGGTTCTTCGGACTAACCAGTAGCCAGAAAGCTGAGCGAGATGCATCTAGTGCTATCACTCAAGGCCAGGCCCTTGAGTCTGCTATCGACGCCGCCGAGAATTACATGAAGGCGTTGAGTCTGACAACCGAATCAAAGGATAGACAGGCTCTTGATGCTAAATGTAAGGAATGGCTCACACGAGCAGAAAAGATCAAACAGAACAAGGACTGGCAGGCCGTTGTCCAGATTCAAGAGAAAAGCGGTCTCACGGCGCGATTCCCCAAATCCGCACGTAAACTTACCACGCGTGAGGAGATTATTTTGCTTGAGAGCGCAAAGCTAAATGGCTTTATCTTTCCTCCATGGAAAAATGCCCCGGGCCCCGAAGACTTCGAGAAGGGAGTTGAAGGCCTTTTTACGTACGTCTATCTAGTCCCTGATGTTGGAGGCTTCGTCAAATGTTGATTTCTAGATGCTGACTGGGTCCAGTGACAAGCCAGACCTTCATCTGTCCAAACAGCAAAGGCGCATTCTGGCAGGCTGGGAGCGTCCCTCTGAGCTGTTGTCCAAGCATGCAAATGGCATACATGGCCTGAAATCAAAAATGCCTGTGATGTCGGTCTCGGGCACTACAGATCTCGTACAAGATATGTTGACCGACTGTTCCGTAGTTGCCAGTCTTTGTGCTGCTACATCAAGGTCGGAGCGTGGTCTAGACAAGGTATGATGTTCTTCAACATGACTTCCTTACAAGAAATATGTTCCTAACAATTACAGCACCATCTTCCCATCGTTTTCCCTTGCGAATACGGGCAGGTAAATCCAATAATTTCCCCTTCAGGAAAATACATATTCCGCTTTTATTTCAATGGATGTTTCAGAAAAGTTGTCATCGATGATCGCTTGCCGGCGTCAAAAACAACAAGATCACTTCATGTTGTTGATCGAAATAATCCTAACTTCCTGTGGCCGGCCTTTGTAGAAAAGGCGTATCTGAAGCTTCGCGGGGGCTATGACTTTCCTGGGAGCAATTCTGGTACAGATTTGTGGGTCTTGACAGGCTGGATTCCCGAGCAGGTCTTCCTCCATCAAGATGATGTAACTGCAGAGCAACTCTGGAGACGGCTATTCAAGCGCTTCCGGCATGGCGATGTCCTACTGACGATAGGTACGGGCAAATTAACCGAGAGGGAGCAGAAAGAACTAGGCTTAGCGAGCGAACATGACTACGCTATCTTGGATATGAGGGAGCAGAGAGACCGTCGCCAAATGCTTGTAAAGAACCCATGGGCAGG